CACCATTTGTTAGTAGCGGCAGGTGGTACAGCATTGGTATCACTGCTAGGGATGTACACATAAAATCAGACAAAATCCACAAAAATCAGGAAAAGGCATAGATTAATAATGCAACACATCTTCATTCAGTGGAGCATTTGGAATTTGAAACTTCAGTTGAATAAACAACCATTTAAAGTCAACTAAAGGCTTGCTGTTTGGCCCTATAAATGCATTAAAATTTTAAGTGTTCTCTGAGAACAGAGGTTATTAAAGTATTGTGATGCTGTGTTAAGTGTAATAAATTGCAGATTAGAAGCTTGGAAGGAACTTTGCTTATTGTGGCATAATTACAAGGAGGTGATACTTCTGTGTTTCTGTTCTTGTGGATATTGTAGTAAATAGCTTATAGGGAGGGTATGCTGGAAGATTATGATAACATCCAGATTCAGCAAACACCCTAAAGAGAATCTAAAACAAAGAGAAAGGGCACTTGTCTTGCCCAACCTTAAATTTTATTATGAGTTGATCCCTTTAAAATATCTAGAGTATATTATCAGAAATGTTGGCTAAGATCCCATGGGTTAAAATGGAGTTCAGTCCTCAGGTTTCCTCATCTATGGGTATCTGTTCAGATAGTTAAAACCAAATATTCTAACCCTTATTAAAACTCATTCTTAAATGTATAGAAGGATTGCATAAAAACTTTGGAATTGCCTGTGTCCCCTGTTCTGAGAACAAGGAACCAACAACTGGCTAAGATGGGGAAATTTTCAGAAATTATACAGATCTGCGGATCACATATTACAAACATTCGCTTGATTTCAGCCAGGCTGAGGGCTTTCTCTGTTGAGGTTCTCACTCACCAGATGGCTGCTCAGAAATAAGATATGTGCCAACTATATCAGGATTTAGGTTTGTGTTGAAGAGTCAGTAATTATGAACTGATGATGGTGCTGTTGTACTGTTCGTGGGCATTGATTTATTCCTTTTATAGGGCTGGGCAAAGCATTTGGAAGGGGCATTTCATGAAGTACACTGGTGTAACTGAAGCATCCCTCTTTAAAGCATTTGATGCGGCTATTTTGAAGGCTTTTCTTGGGATCTCTGCATGTGGTACATGTGCAACAGCTCACTGGCAGTATTTCCTGTTCATGCTATGCACAGCCCTATTACTTAGGCCAGTGTTGTCCAAACCTGGCCACCTTAAGATGAGTGGACTTCAGTTCCCAGAATTCCCCAGCCAGCCATGCTGGCT